TTTTTTTTTGCAAATCGCATAATTGATTATTGTTGTCAATATTTCCATAATTGTAGTAATTATTTGCAAAATGAATAAACCAATCGGATTTACACAATTTGCTTAATTATTCTATATTAAAAATACATTTCATATGGTAAAAAAAAATACATTTCATAAAAGAATTACACGAAAAATATAAAACACTTATTAAATAATAAGTTACACAATTTAGTTGAAATTTTTTAGCAAATCACATAATTAATATTGCATCCGAAATTGACATATTTGGGTAAATCATCCGAAGTCACATGATTTGAGTAATTATCTTAAAAATAAAACTTTTTATGTATTAATTATTTCTTTAAATAATGAGACGCAATTTTTATAAGTGATTATTTGAAATATACTATAAATTGTTAAATTAATTATTCGAAATAGTAAATAGATTTTTTTTAGTGAAAAATATTTACCATTTAAAAAATAATCAAACTTTTATATAATAATAATAATAATAATAATAATAATAATAATAATAAATATTTAATGTACATTAAACTTGTACTATGATGAAGAGATTATTTAGAACATAAGATAAAGATTAAATATATCCAAAAACATTTGCAGGAAATCCTTTCTTTAAACGTTTGAATTTAAATTTTTGACTGAAAATTTCAAATTATGCTTGGCGGGATTTCTAATTTTTTTTAAAAAAGTTACTATGTTTAGTATATTTTTAGGCGGGAATTCTAATCATTTTTTAGCTACTATTTTAGGATTTATTGGGTTACCTCTTTATATAATAATAGATTTCTGCTTATCTTTTTTTTTTTCTCTAAAAAAAGGGAAAGCAAAAAAGTAAAAAAATAAAAATAAATAAATAATAAAACCCATGGGGACATAAATATTGGTCTGCCTCCTCTTCAATTCAACCAGCAAGGAAAGCACCAAAATACGTTTGATGTTTCAAAGTCAAACGATTTTGGGTGTTAAATTAGCATACATATACATATATAATACAAACTATATTCGTCTCTTGTTGAATTTCAGAATTGTATGTTTTGCAATCGTACCTCAAATTCTTCTTCTCACAGCAATATTCCTCACAAGATTTATTTTTTCACTTTCTTGGTGGGGGAATTGGACAACAGAGATTCTCTGTCATTCACACATGGTTTACAATTTTCATGTTAATAGCCCATGAGCTGTCTCTTTGAGGAACTAGAGGAGAAAAAGGAGATTCTTGATTTTGATTTTTTTTTTTTTCCATTTTTTGGGGGATTTTTGCTTCAAGGGTTGTTCCTTTTTTGTTTTTTCGATTGTATGCATTGAAAGGTTCGCTCAGATATCTTTGAATATCTGTTAATGAAGTTGTTTTTCCTCAAATTTTTTGTTATCTGAGTACCATTTGCTTCCAGTAGCCCTGCAGATTCTGGAGCCATAATACGGTGAGCCGCTAGTCCAATGCATGACTGATTTTTCCATAATTTCTGTCAATGGGTTTGATTAAGAAAGCACCTTCCGCTGGAAAGGTCATTCTTTTGAGTTTATTATGTATTAGGGACTGGAAATATCATTTTTTTTTTTTTTAATTTGTTATGTGTTAGAGCTGTCAGATTACTAGGACGTTGAACTTGATGTATTGGAATTTTTAGGTGAATAATTGCATGTAGAGACGATTCATCTTTTGCAGCTCTTTCTTTATTTTTCTATTTTCACATTGTTAAATGATTTTGATGAGGATCTACTTGGTTTGTTGAATGTGCTTTAACGAACTAGCTGTATTTTCGTAGACTTCAATTGCAATGCTACTTGAAGGGTTAGGTACATTGGTTAATTCTTGTCTGGATTGCTAATTTCATATGCTCAGCCATAAATTGATTCATTGTGTTCTGTTCCGACAAATTGACCTTAAAGGGTTCGAATTTGTGTATTCTGGTTCTTGGAATAACTGAAGCACACTAAACTTAAGGAGCTCCAAAATGATCTACATCTTATTAAACTATAAATTAGCATTTTTCAGGTTAATCAGTAATGAGATATGAAATTGGTATATAAATAATTCCACTAGAGATATGAACATAACTTTGTTGACATCTTTCAAATTGTATATTGAGCTTCTTAAACATTCATTAGGCAAATTTGTGTCAGTAAAGGCCTCTGACTATGAGCCAGCTGCCTTACATCTAATGGGCTGGCTTAGCAAAATCTTCAAGGGTTCAAACCATAGTGTTCAAGAGGAGAGATATGAAGCTGAAGCTGTTGAAGCTGATACTGTGGAAAACCTTCCATCTACATCGTTGGTAAGCACACGCATTGTTGTTTGTTGCTTAATTTTATTCTATTTTTCATGATGAGCTTATTAGTAATGTGAAGTTATAGCTGCCTTAGGTTCTTTTATACTTTCCTTTTTTTTTCTTCTTTTTATAACATGTAGAATAGGTTTTGATCCATTTTAATTGGTATCTTGAGAGGATAATGTGAATACATTTCATAGATGGAGTGACTTATACCTTGCAACAAATTGCATATATACCGTTTTATTATTCTTCTCAATAGAAATCTTATTTATGAAAGGAATGTGCATTTAGGATGATGCATGGTCGGAGATTGAAGACATAGATCACGCTATTGCATTGTCGCTTTCAGAAGAAGAGCAGAAAAGAAACAGTGTGAATGGTAAGTCCTTTAGTGAACGATTTTTATTCTATTCAATAAAACCGGAGTTTATTTTCCTTTTAAGATTTGTTCGTCTAGGAGACTGCTCCACAAACTCAATTATTCTTCACAGTTCTCAACTGCAATTATTTGCTTGCATACACATTGACCCTTGATAAGTTCATAATTTTCTTTCTGTTCCGCAAAATAATTAATTGTGTCCGTACATTATATTTTTTTTTTTCTTTGTGTTCTCGGTCAGTAAATACCTATTTTGCATGTAAACAAATTTTCTATTGCTCGGCAATGTATTATGGTGTGTAATTTATTTAATGCCAGTTTATTAACGGATAACTTTATATGCATGGATAGACAGTGAACTGCATATAGAAGAAGACGAACAACTTGCCAGGGCCCTTGAGGAGAGTTTGAATGTCGAGTCTCCACCCGAATCACGGAGTCAAAATGACAGTGTTACTGGAAATGGGTATGAGGATGGATATGGATATGAAAATGAGAGCCTTTACCAGCCTATATATTTTCCTCATTCAGTAGGCTCAGGCTTCAGGTAAATTAAATCTTTGTGCTGGATTTTGTGTATGGTATTAAATATTAACTTTGAAGTTTGTAGGTATAAAAAGGTCTGGAATATGATACTTTCGTCTTATTTTTAGTTATTATAGTACTTAGTGGTTATATATCTGTTATACTTATTTAGGACTTACATCTATTGTGGTAGGATTTGTGCTGGTTGTAACATGGAAATTGGCCATGGAAGATTTTTAAGTTGTCTGAGTGCTGTCTGGCATCCAGAATGTTTTAGATGCCATGGATGCAGACAACCTATTTCGGATTACGAGGTATACGGTGATTTTGTTCATGAAAGTTTGCTAAATAACTTATAGATTGTTATCATGTGAAGTGAAGGTATTCAAGTGATCTGTAAAATAAGATCGTAAGTCTGAATCATGAAAACTAAAAAAAAAAAGAAAAATAAACCTTTAACAACCTGCTGATTGGTGAAAGTTTTGCAATTTAATCTGCTTGATTGGAGAAAGTTTTGCAATTTAGAAACGTCGATCGTAAAAGTGAATATATGATTCAAAAACCTATTTAAATGTGTAAAGAGTTTATATGTGACTTTGTTAAATTAAATAATCAAAGTTCAAAAATTTCAAACTGCAGTTTTCCATATCCGGGAGCTACCCGTATCACAAGACTTGCTACAAGGAGTCATATCATCCAAAATGTGATATCTGCAGTCACTTTGTAAGTACATCTTGTGCGGATAATCTATTCACATGTCTCTAACATTATCTCACATATCAATATTTCACAAAACTTGTGAAAACTCTGCAAATGCTAAGTGTGGAATAGAGGAATATAATACCTTTGACATAATAACTATTGCCCTCTTAAACATTTGCACCCATCACTGAAAGCATAATTTTATTTTCTTTGTACTTTGTTTTGTTCCTTTGAGAAGGTTTAATTGTGATTTAATTTTCTCCGAAAACTCCACAGATTCCTACAAATGCAGCTGGCCTAATCGAATATAGGGCTCATCCTTTTTGGTCCCAAAAGTACTGTCCGAGTCACGAGCATGATGGTACTGCTAGATGCTGTAGTTGTGAAAGAATGGAGGCAAGTTTTCATATTTCATCTCTAACCATAATCTCAGCAAAACCATTTTAACTTAAACACATCTTTGCTTAATCAGTTCTTTTCCTTTTTTTTTTTTTTTGGGTTTTTGCAGTCATGGGACGCGAGATTCGCAGCACTTAACGATGGTCGAAAGCTCTGCCTCGAATGCCTCGACTCGTCAATTATGGACACTGATGAGTGCCAGCCGCTTTTTCTCGATATACAAGAGTTCTTCGAAGGGTTGAACATGAGAATTACTCAACAAGTTCCGTTGCTTTTAGTCGAGAGGCAGGCACTGAATGAAGCCATGGATGGAGAGAGACATGTTTGTAGCTTCCATTTTTTTTACCTATCAAGTTTTACCCCAAATATTCCTTTTTTTTTAAAAAAAAATATATATTTACTTCGGTAAAAAAGCATAAAGATTGAGCTAAAATTCCGTGTTTTTTCCAGGGGCATCATCATATGCCTGAAACTCGAGGTCTCTGCCTCTCAGAGGAACAAACAATCAGCACTGTAAAACTTCTGTTACTAATTCATTTAATAATTTTTTCTATTTTTTTATTTATTGAGATTTTACTATTTCTGGATTGGTTTTCACTCGTATTTGCCATAATGGGTCACCAGATACTTAGAAGACCGAGAACAGGCGGTGGAAATCGAGCAACGGCCATGAGAACAGAGCCTTATAGATTAATCAGACATTGTGAAGTGACAGCCATCCTTATTTTGTATGGTCTTCCAAGGTACTTATTAAACTTTAAGGTTAAATCATGGATAGCTTAATTTTTAATTTTATCATCCTTTTTTTATTTGTTTTATGCTCTCAGGTTGCTGACTGGATCAATATTGGCTCATGAGATGATGCACGCGTGGCTACGTCTTAATGGTTCGTTCATCAATCCCAGTCTACATTCCACAATTTCCCCATTAAATTTCTAATTATGTGAAAAAAATAAAAAATGCTTAGTAAACACATTCCCTCTCATTACGTTGTTTTTGTTTTCGACAAGGTTACCGAACTCTCAGACAAGACGTCGAAGAAGGTATCTGCCAGGTCATCGCCAGCATGTGGCTCGAATCTCAGATTCTGTTCATGTCTGATGCTGAAAATGCATCCACCTCATCATCATCTTCATACGCCTCGATTTCGAGACAGGGAGCAAGATCTCGATTCGAGAAGAAACTCGGCGTGTTTTTCAAACACCAGATTGCAACCGACACATCTCTTGTGTACGGACACGGTTTTAGAGTCGGTAATGAGGCCGTGCAGAAATTTGGCTTGCAGAGGACACTCGACCACATGAGAGAGACCGGAAGCTTCCCAGACTGAAAATTCGGTGCCGAACAATTCGAGAACATATTCTTTTTTTATTACATTTTCCTTTTCCTTTTTTTTTTTTCAAGTTGTTTTTTGAATTACGGAATGGGCATTTTGAAACAAATGCCTCTGGTACAGGAAGGAGTCCTTAGATTAGACTAGAGTACTAAGAGTAGTAAGTCATTTTGCAAACCTCTGTATATTTTCGAGGCCCTTACATGTATACTTGTGGAAATACTATAAAGATTCATATGCATTTGTATATTTTTTCTGTCTTTTTGTTTTACCTTGACTAATTGTTGTTTCAATTGCCTGCATTTGAATATGCTGGAGGTTCGTCCTTAGCTTAATGGGTTCACACTTAGCTATTATCATTTAGGTCTTTTGAAACCAGGTGAAGGTACCTTCTAAGACCTATTTAGGTCATTAGGTCCTTTTTAGCTCTTCTAACTTGTAAGACCTATTTAAGTTATTAGGTCCTCCGCTTATTTACTTCATTTTGGGACGTGAAGTCTCGAGTCGTTAAGGTCGTTTAGGTCATTTTGCTTATTTAGTTCGTTTCGAGTCAGTGACCCGATCCAACTCCACCTATCGACATGGTTGCCCTGGTGAGTCGGCTTGGTCGAGTTGTGGTCATGTCGGGTTATTTTCCTATCTATATCAGTTAGGTTGTTTGGCGCGGTTGGCTGAAAAATTGATCTTGTTTTGACTGATTGATTTTTTTTTTTTTTTACACTTTTTAAAACAAATTCTAACTCAAATCTAATTTAACTCAACTCTTCTCAATATTATCAATATAATAATATAATATCAATGAATCATCCTTACACATCACATCAACTTTAAATCAATATTTATCCACTCATGTATTTTAACTATCTATCATTTACAAATAATCTCACTCTTATTTTTAGAGTACATCAACTTTAATCATTACATTTTAAGTAGTATTTGAATACAAACTCAAAATCTCACTTAATTCTCAAATCAATCAACTTGATTCAAAATCTATTCACTTTCCTCAATAAATTCAATTAAAATCATTTTTATTTATAGCTAATCGCGCCTTTAAAAAAACTATTATTCTCTCTCTAAAAAACCCTTCCCCCAAATCGTCTCCCCCAAATCGTCAATTTCCTTGCCTTCCCCGGCGAACAGCCGGCCTCTTGCCGGTGGAGGACCCGAAGTTGCGTCCCCATGGCCCGATTTGAGCGTTTCCTTCTCGGTTCTCGCCTTTCGGAGATGAGTTCTGTTTCGTCGGACGGGGCTGTTCTACTGGAGGTCGCCGTTCGAGATTTTCTTTGCATCGTCGGTGGATTCTCGGGAGTCCTTGTCGATTCCGCCTTTGTACGGCTACCGTTGACGGGTTCCACGGCTCCACTTCCGATGTGGGTTAGATTCTCGGCCCTGACGGTAATTTTCCAGCTTTCTTATGTCGGCTCTGCCTTTGGATGGTGGTCGATGGAGGGTTCGACGGCTTCTCCTCC